ATCACCGTCGGGTGGCGGGGTGGCGGTGGCTCGCGTTGGCCCTGCCTCGGCGCCGCGGTGGGCGAAATCAAGCGTTTTCTGTAGGACACAAAGAGGTGCTGTTTCCTCCCCGCCTTGCCTGTTAAAACACCGGGTTTTAATGTCACCGGTCGAGAAGTGAGTCATGGTCGCGGTGTTGCAACTTAGGGCAATGTTTTGATGTTTTTCCAATTCGTAGTCCATCTGGAAAACACCACGTGGAAGGAAATCTGTTTTCGTTTGGCGTGCTTTCTGGTGCATCTCTCTGGCAAGAGGTTTCTTTTGATCCCCAGAAGGGCCTGTGATTATGATGATGTACTAAAGACTGCAAATTATTTTAGTCTTCAGCCAAGAACTTTTATGTTGGCAGATAAAATGCTTGAACAGTGCAATTTCCCACGCAAAGTAAAACTTTCCTGCGGAAGGACGTGTGCTGGCACATGGACGCGTGTGTGTTTTGGTGGGAGTGTGCTCTGGGCTGCATTAGGGAGAGCGTTGCCAGCAGGGTGAGGGAGGGGATCCTTCCCCTCTGCTCGGCACTGGGGAGGCCACAGCTGGAGTGCTGCGGCCAGCACTGGGCTCCCCAGGACAAGAGAGACGTGTGTATACTGGAGTGAGTCCCACGAACATGAGTAAGAGGTTGGAGCCTCTCCAGTATGAGACTCTTCTAAGTGGTATCCAGTGACACAGCAAGACGCAATGGGCACAAGTTGAAATACAGGAAATTCTATTTAAACATAAGAAACAAACTTTTTTTACTGCAGGGATGGTCAAACACAGGAACAGGTTGCCCAGCGAGATTGAGGAGTTTCCATCCTTGGAGATACTCAAAACCCGACTGGACATGGGCTTGGGCAACCTGCTTGAGATGGCCCGGCTGGCTCAGGGTGGTAGGACCGGGTGCCTTCAGAGGTGCCTCCCCACCTCCTCAATTCTGCAGAGCTATAAGTGTGGGTGCGTTGCTTTCCTTCCCTCTTGTTCCTCTGCTTGGCGTCAGGGATAGTTAGAGGGGTCCGTGAGCTGCCGCACAGCTCCTCATCAGAAAGAAAAAGGCTAGGTTCAATCCGTCCTGCTAAGTCAGGTGGCAAAGGGGGAGGAGGGGCAGCGGTGGCTGCCCCCGAGCAGGATGTGAGTCAGCCGCACGGG